TTTTTACAATTTTATTTGGTATTTTTAAAAGCCAAAATACATACAATTGCAATTTTAGCCTATTTTAGGATTAATAGCATTTCTATAATTATAAAATTGGTTCCAGCATTTTTTAATTAACATTTATATATTACTAATTGGTTCGGTGCTTTTAATTTGTTTTTAAAATCATTTTACTATTTTTTATAAAATAAAAAGGGTAAAACTGGCTATTTAACATTTAGCCTCATTTCATTTCAATTACAGCCTCTTTTACATTTCAATTTTAACCCTTAATTGACCCAATCTCAACCCCAACCGGACTGGCCCATTTTTTAATTCGACCCAACCCAAAACCCAATTCAAACGACCCTACCCGGTTCCCACCTTCCCCTTTAGATCTAGGCCGTTGATCGTACAGATCAACGACCATAATTCCCCTTTGCCATTTTAACCCCAAATAACCTACCCTAATCCCTCATTCCCCACTTCTCAGCCGCCTCTGAATCCCAAACTCTCTCAAGCTCTCCGGAACCCTAGCCTCTTCCTACCCCTTTTCAACCGCTTGTCACCGGAATCCATGGCTTCTCGGGCCATGGATAGTTGGTACTCACCTACCTTCACCAGTAAGCCATGGTTGTTCGAAGCTTCGAGACCTGACCTTGATGATTCCCTCTCCGATCTTCTCAGACCTTTGATTCCATGGCTTCTCCGGCATGCTCCGGCATATTCAAGACTCGGGAGCCTGATTCCTGACCTCTCCGACTCAAGATCGGACCTTCCTCCAAGCCTTTCTCATTTCTAGGGTTACTACGAAACCCTAAGCTATTCGAGGTTCTTTCCATGTCGTTTGCTTAGATCTATGAAGTATCTATGCTTCACTTGACATTTAAAGTGTTTTCCCCAAAAGTTCTTTTCAAAATCGTTCGTCTTTGATTTTAGGGATTCTGAAAGGATTTTTCCAAAAATCTTTCTGATTTTTCTTCTTCTTTGCTTTATGTGTGTTGTCTATATCATGCTCGTGTGATTTCTTTTGCTACGCATGTACTGTCTGTCTACTTTTCTTTTTTCTACTATACATGTTACTCCTATGTTAATCCTGTTATGTTTTCTTTGCTCTTTTACTATATGTGTTTACCGTTGAGATTCTTTAATTTTTGTCTTACTAAACTCTGTTCGTATTCTTGCTAAACATGCTTCATCTGCTTTTGTTTAAGTTTGTATCATCTCTTTCTTCTGAACTCGTTTAAGGTCCGAGTTTTCTCAAATATGTTCTTCACAATCTTGAATCAGCTTTCTTACTTTGTTGTTCAAACATGCTCTCATATCTGTTTTGTTGAGGCTCTGAAACAAACCTTTGAGTCTGTTTCAATGGCTTGCTTTCTCACCTTTATGTCTGATTCAAGTTGAAACCCTAGGATTTGGGGGTTCCCCTTGGCGATTTTGATTTTGTGTTCGAGTTAGGGTTCCACTTTGGAACCCTGGACTCTCAGACTCATTGTGAGTCTCCAATTGGACTCGTATCCTCTTGCTTATGATTCTGAACCTTTCAATGGTTGAACTATTTTTCTAAGTAACATGACGATTCTTTTGTTTGATTTGTCTACTTTATATATCAGAAGTTCTTCTTTCAAAAGGGTTTTTTCCAAATACTAATTGATTTCGAATTCCTTTAATAGTGTTTACTTGATTGTTACTGATTTCCTTTAAATTAAACCTTTCTTTACCCCTTTCCTGACTTGATTCATTCGAGTAAAAGCCTGTAACTTTGATTTTACTAGTTGTCTGATTGATTCCCTTTCCTTATTTCACATAAACCATGTACCATTGGGCTGTTGCCTTAAATAACTGCTATGTATTTACCCTTTATTGTACTGCCTGGAAAATATTTTTTTTCAAATCCCTTTCCTTAATTTTTTTACCCGTTTGAAATCAGAATCCCTTAACTAAAGGGAGATTGATTACA